AAACTTCAGAGGCAAAATCACATTTATTTTGTTGTCTATTATCTATTGTATTATACTATTATCTAACATTCTTTTAACACAGTGTAAAAATCTCAATAATTGCATGTTTTAAACTTAATTTTTTTATCAATTAGCACAGGTTTTGTATTTCTTTTTGGAATTGATTGATCGTAGACCTCACTGATCTGAGCTTATGCACCTCAGTTTTTGTGTGGACAATGCCAAAATTATCCACAGATACTTTTTTCACTACTCTTGAATCCAGGATTTTGTAGCATAATGAGAGATTTACAAGCAATTTTTAAAAGGCTGGTCATTTTTGACTTGGAATACCAAATTAAAGTATATTCAGTACAGCACAAGTGTTAAAGTTTTGATTTATAGTATTTATTTTAACCTTATATGCTTTTACTTTGCTCAGTGGTAATGGGAATCATATTCCATGCAGCAGAAGCTTGACAATTCTTTGTTGTACATTGATGCTTCTAATGGAAAAGTCCTTTGTTTTCAGTATGATTCTTCTCAGTATTTCCACTCTTCACTGCGATAGCTTCAAGAGGAGGTGAAGGCAGCTTGAGGAGGTCGAGTAGAGGCTAACGTGGGAAGAAGTGAAGCGAAATTCTAACAGACACAGGCCACTGTTCTTCCCCTCTGGCAGGACAACTCTCCATAACCCTACACAGACACCGCTGCATCCCCCATCACTACCAAACCGACATGCCACTCTCATCTGTGCCGATTCCATGTGGATGTCCGCTCGTGCGTTAGTCATTGTGAACACAGTGCACAAACCTTTACGGCTTTGTCACTGTAACCTTGCCCCTGCTCTGTTCCTATAAAATGAAAGAAAAGAGAAGAAAATGCAAGGTGTTGAGTGGGAGGAAGTTAAAGAGGGAGAATGAAATGAAAGTGGGCATGAAGAGTGTGGACTATAAAATAAAATAAAAGACGAGAGGAAGCGGTTAATGACCAGCCGATAATAAATAAAGCACATGTTAAATTAAAAGTAAAAAGAGGGAAAAGATGGAGAGAGCGGAAGGGGGAGGAACAGGAAGACAGGCAGTGTGACAAAGAATAGACAAGAAGCACTTCTACACTTCAGTCTAATTACATTTAAAAAAAAACATTGCTTTGTCATGAGAACTATTAGATGTTGTATATTATGTCACAATTTTAACATAATCTATTGAATTAAAGTTTGCAAACTTTAAGTAATTGATCAAATCACCGAAAAATATTTTTTTAGTTTTGTGCTACATTAATTTATTGTGTGCCACATTTTGTGCACAACCTTGTTACCATATGATTTTCTCTTATTACAAAAACTGTAAAATGACTTAAAATCGTGAACACATACAGGAAGTGACATCATTTCTATGGCATGATAGGAAGATAAATATTGTTGTGTTTACTGCAGTTATTGAGCTATTATTTCTTAAGCAATCCTGTTACAAACAATTGATTAAATAATGTTTATAGCTAAAACGTACAAATATCAGGGATTAGAGGTATTGGTTGCAGGCTCGCAAAAAAAAGTTTTCTTTGAACATAACACAGTTCATATAACATTATGCTTCTTGAAGTTGGCACTCAACATTTGTAGAAGGTTAAAATTACCAATTGTTGAAAAGAAAAGAAAAAAAACATTTTCTTTTTCAGGCACTATTTGGTATCCTATTCATGGAAGGTGCAAGAAAGATGTGTTGAATGGGAGAGTAGAAGAGACAAAATGTGAGAGAGAAGGTCTGCCGAATAAGGGAAGATGAATTACAGGAATGTGCACGGTGGCTCGGCTCGTTTAGGAGCTGATGTGTCGGGAAGCGGAGGATGGGTGTTAATAAGAAGCCTTATGTGGCTTTCTATGAACTGAAATGCTTCACAGTCCATGGGAACAGAAGAGAGAGAGAGAGAAGAGAAACGCACAACAAGAGCGAGGCTGCCTGATCTCTGCTGAGTCATACAGACAGAACTTAAAAAGACATGACAAACAATGAAACATTAAAGTACACATATAGTAAGGTAAGTATAGCTTATTGAACTTGTTCCAGAACAATGGTTTTCAACTGGTGGGTTGTGACCAAAAATTGTTTTTGTTTTTTTTTCTGATAGGGTTATGAACAACAAGGAAAAAACAATGATAAATTTAAATCATAGAATGCAAACCATACAATCATGTAGGGGAGCAAAATAAAAAGGATACTTTAATTCTAATTTAAAAAGGTTGTCTGTTCAATCAACATCTGTCACTTGGTTGAACCTAGCTTGAATCATGGCCTACATGGATAGGTTTCATGACATGCACATGCTATTATTAATGCATTTAGATGTCTGATTTTAAAGACATTTGTGTTTATTTTTGTTCATAAACAATGTTCAAAGTACAATTTGGGTTGTACCAAACTACATTTACATTTCTTAAGCCAGTTGGATGTGCAAAATAATATTTCATAAATAGCCAAATAGTTATTGAGACACCCACTTTTCATGATCCAAAGAAATCCTGGTTAATAAAGTCCAGTGTGGTATTGCTATTTCATTTAATATTTTTATTCACTCTAAAATACTTGTATCATAGACAGGGCCGAATTTACCTCTTTTTGGGGCCCCCTTCATTATTAATATGTTCGGCCTAATATTACCACCCAAGCAAACAAAAATATTTCTTAATCAGTGGAAACTGGTACAGTGTTTTCTATCGCAATAAGCACTTGCGTTTAGTTAATAAAAATCGAATGTAGTTCTTAATTTGTTTGAGAACTGAGAAAGACCATTCCATTAATAGGCCCGGCGACGTGGCCACATAATAACCACTTCGGGAGTGCATTATTTCTCTAATAATTTTAACGGCCTGGAGTCACAACCACACATCAAGACATTGTTCAGATGATTGGATTCAAACTTTTTTTTTAATCAATTTGTTTTCTTTCAATTAGCACAGGTTTTGTATTTCTTTTTGGAATGGATTGGTCATAGATCTAAGCTAATGCACCGTACAGTGTTTTCTATCGCAATAAGCACTTGCGTTTAGTTAATAAAAATCGAATGTAGTTCTTAATTTGTTTGAGAACTGAGAAAGACCATTCCATTAATAGGCCCGGCGACGTGGCCACATAATAACCACTTCGGGAGTGCATTATTTCTCTAATAATTTTAACGGCCTGGAGTCACAACCACACATCAAGACATTGTTCAGATGATTTGTTTCAAGACATCTGACATGCTTCCGTCCTGAAATCTCATGTGTTGAACTAATTTTTTATGCACCTCATCCCAAACCTTCTGTTGCAAATATCAAAACGTCATTTTAGAGCTAATAAAGGAGGCTTGAGCCATTGATATGCAGGCTAATGCAGTTATTAATGCAGTCTAATGCGGTTATTAGAGAGAGAGAGAGCGAAAGACAGAGAGGGAGAAAGAGAGAGATTAAGTACGTGTGAATACGTGCGTCTGTGTGTCTCTCAACAGCATTCAGCAGCAGTGTCTACTAATAGCGAATCTTTAAGTTAAACTGCTTCAAGAACCTTGCAACTGAGAAATGTCATGTAGCTTTTCAGCTGCGAAACTATTTTATTGATAAATTCGCTGGGCAGCACTGGCAAGAAGTTTCTGTTCGTGTCTCCACGTGTGTGCATCTGTGATCTGTGCGTGATTTCCGTAGCCTACATAAAAAAAGGTGGAAGACATGGAAATAGTTTGTAATTTTTTACCCTATTGTTTGTTATATTTATTTGCTCAATGTCTTCTGGGGTTTTGGTTCTTTTACTGTTGTAGATAGCCCATAGTATAACAAAAATATGATATATCTCTTCATTGTGTTTGGGCCCCCCTGGACGAGCAAACATAGGCACGTGCCTAGAATGCCTATGTGTAAATCCGGCCCTGATCATAGAAGTAAAATGGGTTCAAGCTCAGTGTTTAAGCTTCATGAGTCTTTTTGATTTCCTCTATGCACTCTCATGGCTGAAGTCTAACATTCACTGATCATTTAGTATCTCAAGCTGTTGTTCCTCATCTCAAACTATGCAGCACTGAGGCAACATACCAGATTTCACACTCATTGATTGGAGGGCACTCTGTCACATTGGCAATGCTGTGTGGCTCTAGCTATGAATTAATTAATTGTCTGTCGGAAAATACCAAATGTCCTGCAGATCTCAGAGATCCCACATTGTATTACAGAACAATATTGGTGAATAATGAATAAAAGCATCTTCTAAATTGCAGACTATTTCACACTGTGCATCTAAGTTTGTTTTTGTCCACTCATTGTCGATGACTAACACCTCAAATGCTTCCTTCTCAACTGTCCTATCCTAATCAGCAGATACATGATGAGCCATCCATTTTTTCCCAATATCCCACTCTGTCTGTCATCCCTCCTCTCTTCCTCCCTCAACATTGACAGGCTATAATCCCCATATTTTGTCTGAGCATATCACTTCTGCTACATTTGGCTGGTCTAATGCCCTGCTGCGGGTCTCATGTGAGGGCTGGGAGAGGAGCAGGTCCCTCTCTGACCATTTACATAGAGCTGCGAGTGCTATTACGTCATCACTTTGCATTTAGATAACTGCCAGCACACCTAGTAAATCAGGCCGTGTGCATCCATGTCAGTCTTTCCAGCTGTAGGGGACTGAGAGGGGGGAGGGGTGTCTCCACCTGACTGAAGCCCTCCATCAAATCAGCATCTAGATCCACTCTTCAGTTTCTCTATTAGACACACATATATGAGATATGGATAGGCCGGTAAGTTCAGGCAGAAAATCCAGTCATGCACATGTAAATGGGAAATTGAGATTTATTCAGAAACTTGCATGAAACGTATGATTGATTGGGATCTTTGTTCTCAGGAGAAACATCTGTAGACCAATGATGAGAAAGCTTTGATTTCATATTGAAATCTATTTGACCATATCTGAGCAAGTTTGAAGCATTGTTTAGATTTTTTCTGATACTTTATAGGAGACATATGTTTGATTACCATTTTTTTTCTTTTTCAGGAGAAATATCTGAGAAGCAATGATGAGAGACATGCATACTAATAAAAGTCGCTCCTCCAAACACATGGCAAAAATTCTCGTTAGGTAAGGTTCCAGAAATAACAACATACTACTGCAAGGACAAAGAAAGTCATGAGAACTGACAAGCAACGGGACTCTCTCTCTCTTCCTCTTACCCTTTCTTTCTGTTCCTGTTTCTTCCTCTCGCTCTTGCTTTCAGGGTTAGATGCTCCCCGAGGGCTTCGCCAGCCCTCCTTTCTCCTCACTCATTTACACCACTGCACTGATGCATGCTGGAATTGATAACACAGACACCTTCTCTTATCTTGTCTTACCGTAGTCTTTTGAGTAGGAGTCCTTTGTTATCGACCTGGCAAGGAGCAAAGGGATGTCACAGGTCTGTATGTGCTGCCAGAAAGTTGAAAGTTCTGGCTGCTCGCTAGGAAAAAGATTTAGTACAATACAGAAGATTCAGTTGATCTAACCTAAAATGTAAAAACTATGTTCTGTCATTTAATAGACTCAAATGGATTTTTAAGATGCTTTCACCAAATGTTCGACAGCTGCTGGCCTGATGAATTTGATCGATGATGTGTTGGTGAGTATGTGCATCTTAAACCATTATTATTCTTAATGCATCCAGCACTCTTTCTCTCTCTGTATTTATAGCATAACAATGTCTCTGTCACAACTCAATAATTCATTTCCGTTCATCAGAAACCAGTACAAGGTTGTTGCTGAGGGGACGGGTGTTGCTGCTGTGGTGACAGTAAGAAGCAATGCATTGCGCCGATAGATGGCCGAGAGAAACAGGAAGCAGTGGCCAACTCCTGCAGACACTAGGAACGCTTCATGGTCCAGTGATGAATTGCAAATAGAGGATCAGAGTCTGGCACATGAAAGTGATTGAGAGGAGGGAAGGAGGGGGAAAGAGACAAAGAGAGCGAGAGAGAGATTCCCTTTATGCTCACTGTGTCAGGCCTCAGTCTTTGACTTCGGTCGGGACTAATGATCGTTCTGATATGGGCAAGTAATTGGTGTCTAGGGATGTTAGACTACAATGTCTTTTACATAACGTAATAGGCAACCCAGTATAGGCTGCAATATTTAGTCAGGAAGGCGATTAAAACTAAGGGAGTGACATTCGGGTGATGCACTGCCCAATTGGCAGGACTGGGCAAGCAATTACAATCGTTTTTGGCAGAAGCATATGTAGTTTTATTCTCTGCTTAAGTTTGATGATGAGATGGCTTGTGTTTTGTACAAATATTAAAAGTAATGACTCATGAACTAATATCTGAAGCTGTTGACTTTGTTATCATATCTTAGTAAAGAGGTTAAAATGGTTGCAGGCTACAACCCTTCTCTAAGCCCTGCCTTTAAAACATTACTGACCAGACTTAACCGTTGCCACCCACCAATTCACAGGTAAACTTTTGCTCATTTCAAATGTCAGATCCTCCATCTGTGTGTTTGATGCAACCAAGGAGTGGAGCTTAGTGAAGGGTCAGTTGACGGGAATGTTCACACAGTTCGATTCAAGACTCCATTAAAGTTCACCCAAAATAAAAATTCTGTCATCATTTACTTGCCATCTAAACCTGGCCCAAAAACAACAACACTGAGACAAAATATCTTCAAACAGCTTTGGAACAACATGAAATTGAGTAAATTATGTAAACTGTAGTATTATTAAATAAACTGCCTACGAACCACTTATGTAAACTGCATGAACTGGACAATTTGAGAGTCACATCTACAGTTGTGAATCCCAAATTCTGACTGTATGAATGCAGCCACTGTGTATTCACAGTGTGTGTGATCTCTGTGCGATCATATTGCAAAGCAAGGTCATTTGTTGTATGTGCTGACCATCTAAATTTGAGACTTTTCATCAAATATTATTGTAACATCATCAGCATGTCTTCGAGTTGCATTACATGCTTTATTCCTAGCTTCCGTATTATCAATAATATTGACTTTCATGTGAAGAGCAGGAAATGTCGAAAAAAATCATATATATAAAATGAGCTATACTGTATGAAGTTTGATTTATCGGTTTTTACATAATGACTTAATGCTCAGTGTAAAGACGTACATCAAGGCTCTGTACATCACAAATGTAATATACATCCAATAGACAAATACACACTTAGTCTAAAGTCTAATTACCCAGCCAGGGAAGAACAAAACTAAGCTTACTTCTGGATGCAGACACCAGACAGTGTCCCCACGCCCACGCTCCTTTGCTCTCTGCCCCTTACTGTCCTTTCTCCAATCATTTAGTGAGTTAGAAAGACATACTTCATACAAAACTGCAGCATGAGCAAAGTAGTAAAAGCATGTCTGTGATGCTCCACATGATCAAAAAAAAAAGAGTTAAAGAATAGAGGGAAAAAAACACACTTGGTTTCCGCCGGTTCCTCCTACTTGCCCCAGCCGCACATCACAGGGGTACAGAAGCAGCCAGTCCTTTCACTTCTTTTTGATTTGTGCCGGAGAAAAAGTAAGTGTTTGTCCCTAATTAGCTTCCCCTGCTCCCTCTTCCACACAAGATTTTAATTATGATTGGGTGTTGCGGTGGATGTGAAAGAGATGCATGGCTGACATCAAGGCGGTGCTGGCCAGGAGAGATACGCCATGAGCCCCGCAAGCAGTCTAGCATTGTATGGAAGTCTTTGCTTCTTGGTGGAACAATGTCCTGCGAGGAAATGTGTGGAAACTGGAGGCAAAGAGCAGGGAGCAACCTACAGCTGTGTGTTTGCAAAAGCAACAGCCATCACAGCAGGCCTCCGAATCCATGTTTCTCTAAAAGGTTTTGAAAAGGTGACTGGGGAGGCTCTGTTACAGCCCACATACTGGACCTGTATGTATACGGCTACGAATATAAGCTGGGAAGTGGGAACATTCTTGCATTCATTTGCAGGGGGATGTATGTTAGGGATAAAAGAGAAAATGACTAATATCCCTGCAATCACCACTTGCTTCACCAAAACACCAGGAGTGAGAGAGAAAAGTTTTAGACCTAATCAAACTTTCTTAATGCCAGTGACCTTGCAAACATCCCCAGGGAGGAGCGGCACACTTACATTCAGTGCACTTTGTTTTTAAGATGCAAGGCCAACTACTGAATGACCTGAGTCATCCTGCACCTGCCTCTAGAAGCATCTGACCAACACCTGTAGAAGCTCTCAGAGTCTGTCTGTCACAGAGTCTTTCAATTTAATTCGTTCTTTCAGCATGCTCTTGTGAATTAGTCAGTGGCAGTTTTGAGTGACACGGAATGATGATGTACATTTTGTGGTGGTATTAGTATTGCAAGCCAAACGTTTGACTATTGGTTTAAAGTCTGAGGCTTGCTATAGCTTATTCTGGGCATGAATGTCAACTTAGCAGTTGTCTGATTAAAACTTGACAATAACAGTTGTTATTTTTTTATGTATATGGGCAGACACAACTAAAATCAATGCTATTTCACAAATAAACTAGCATGCAAAAAAGTGGATCTATAAAAGGTTGTACAGACAATCCCAAAGAAATCAGTAGGATTTATCAGATAGAAATGTGTGTAGACTTTGTGGTCAGAATTTCCTTCCACCTAAAAACAAAAGCACTGAGCATTTCATGAACATTTCACAGAAGTCAATATTTAAAGTTATCTCGTTAAAAATTAGCTACAGTATAAGACATTTTCTTAAATTTAAATGAATTTGTTTTCCACCAGTCAATAGCAACAAACTTGTTCACATTTAGTCCTCAGTTCCTTCACCTTTAGCAGATCAATGGACGATTGAGACTCAAAACACTTCAGCCTGATGCTCAAGGATTTTGTCATTTTTCTCGCCCTGCCAGATTCCGCTGTGCTTTGTTTTGCTGACATGAAAAATGTGCTTGCCTAAAACATTCACAAATCTCCTCATTTGTGAAATAGTCACTGGCCTATTATATTGTCACCGACACACTATACTGTATGTACTTGTCACTGTTTTGGTCAGACAGCATCTTAGAAGGACAAAATAAGGGCAGGCATTTGTTGTAAACAGCTTGAAGCATATGTCCAGTGAAGCCATCAGTGACGATGTACCAGAAAAGCCTCACATCACTGCAAAATTGTCTACAGAAATACAACACTGCAAACCAGTGTTATAAAGGTTAGAGTAGAATTTCAGCTGAAGTTTATTTTAGTCTAAGTTTTGACTGTTCTGACAGCCTTGTTTGTGCATTCAGACTTCGTCTTCAGTCTAGCACTGGATTTGTCGGTGGGTGTGCAAGTTTGATCCTGAATCCACAGTGTTTATCAGAGAAGCTATGGTTTCTTTCTGAGGAAGGTTATGTGTGCAGTAGGATGATGGGATTGTAAAGCTCAACGGGTGGTCAAATACATTCTAACATGCTTTTTGTCTATCACTGGTCAAACAAGAACCTAACCTCACTGTAATCTAAGGATTTATAATACCACATAAAGTAAATATAGGATGGATACCATCTTTTTGGCAAAGTATTGTTTTTTAATGATTTTTTAAAATGTTTTATATGGCTGTGCTCTGGTCTGGTCACACATTTCTTAGTTTTCAATTAGTGAGCAAGGTTAAGGGAACAAAGTTTGAGTATTTTCAAAATTCAGATGACAACTGTCAATTTTCCATTTGAATATAGGCCTACTGCAGATTCTCTATATTTATTCTTCTATATTCTGCATTTTATGTCAGTCTCCACAGTAAAATGTCGAACTCGAATGTATGCACATTTCTGATGTCTCTTTAAAAATGCATGGGTAGAAATCCCCTAAAAACACAGTGTTGGAGAGACTGGGGATGTGGTAGCACATTTTATTTCAAGGAACAATATGTAACTCTTACATGTTTAATAAAATCTATATAATATTCACATATTTGTCTGCTACAAATTAGAAATAAACTACTACAACCCTATAATAAATGCCTTCTCTTTTAAAGGAGTTAAGGCTCTTGAATGCATATTCTGCATATACACAATGATTAAATGTCTTGCACGTTGCATATTGTAATTTGTTGCTAGAAACTTGTATAAACATGATATTATTATTATTATAGTGAAATGTCTGTTATATGTACATTTATAAAAAAAAGTGATACATAATGACTTGTCATGTTTTACTGAAGTACAAACCGAAACTGATCACAATGGAGAACATTTCGACAGTGTACGGTTGCTACGGTTACATCCTCTCACCAACGTGACTACTGTTCGACAAGGTCTATTTGGTGGCAGGTGAAAACCGTGCCCTTGTTTTGTTTTTTTATCATTACAAACGTTTAAAAAATCCTGCTGAAACTATACTTGTTCAAAATAATTACTGTAGGCCTACAACCCACATGTCATTTTTAACATGATTATTATAAAATACACATAGGCCAATAGGAAATATTTCAATCTTTTGGCTCATTTCTAATTGTTTAAACCAGTGGTTCCCAACCACATTCCTGGAGGCCCCCCAACATTGCATGTTTTCCATGTCTCCTTAATCAAACACACCTGATTCAGATCATCAGCTCATTGGTAGAGACTCCAAGACCTGAAATGGGTGTCAAGACAAAGGAGAGATACAAAATATGCAGTGTTGGGGGTCCTCCAGGAACGTGGTTGGGTAAACCAATTAGAATAATGATGGTATTACAACTCACCCGTTGTTACAGTATTCATCTAAAGCTATTTATGCATATCGTCTACTGTATGCTTGGCTGACATACACAAACGACAAATAAATTGTCGTCTGTGTGATTGTAATAAATGCGCTTATATACATCGACAGGTGGTGCAACGGACCGGTATTCGGGACTACAGACTAACTGTATATTTAAATATATATATATATATTTCACCATACAGGCTCCAGCGCGCTCAATGTCGCCGCCTGGCCGCGACGCGAGATATGTATCAGGCAGCGAGTTCCCCGAGACCCAAAACGAGGCTGCGTCTCGATCAGGACGCGCGGACCGCATTCCTCCTCATTCATGCCGTGCTGAGACTCCACACACAGAAAGTGCACGCGGAGCTTTACACACTGCTGCCGAGAAAATGTACTCAAGTTTGAGATTTTACGCATGGCGAGGATAATAAACCAAGGCATCAAGAGCACAAGTAAGTAACCTCGGTTCTTTGCGCACAGGCGTGACTTTTCAGTGCAGTTTGTTTGGGGGGAAAATGCGTGTGGCGCTCTGTTTTCTTCGGCGTTTACAATGAATGTATCGATACTTGATTGCGTCGGAACAGCCGAGGACTGCGATGTGAACATTTTGTATGCGGTTTGACACCTCAGTGCGTATTAACTGACGCATTAAACAAGAAGATATCGGCATTGAGCAGCAGTAGTGGATGACTAACTTGGTTAGATTCCCTGTGGTTTAACTGCTTTACTGAAATAAGTAACTATCAGGTTGTGTGGGGTACAGGGGCGTTCTCTGGGAATATGCAGAATGTAAACGATGCATTTGTTGGATAGCTCAGTTTACCACTGCAAATCACACTTTTAGGGTTACGCTTAACTGCATAGGGAGGAGGGTTTGATATGTTTAAATGTATAAACCAGGCTTTGTCCAACACCTCTCTGTGTACAGTTATTTGGATTGACAGCATCAATGTGACAGTATGTGGGTTGACTGTCTGTAAATTCTCGCCAAGACTGATTCAGATGGGAATTCGGCAAAATTGGATGTAGGTTAGAACTGTTGGGCTGCATGAGAGGCAGAAATCTAATAATATAAGGCGAATTTCACGCATGTAATATCTGCATAGTCTTAACATATAAAGCTCTCTATTAGATTAATTAAAATCTCAGAATCTTTATTGTCTGGTTTGTTGAGCAGACACATTTATTTTCTTTTGTGAGGCGGGAAACTGACAGTCCAAGGTACTGTGTTTGTATGTTTATGTAGTGTACAGTATGTAGCCTACGAGATGCTCTGCTTCATTCACTAGAAGATGTCAGTAAAGTGCTTTTATTACACATTTTAACGTTATGTTTTGATTTTAACAATGATTTTAAGAAAAATGTATATACTCGTCTCTGTTTGCTTGCAGAAATTGAACTGAAAGATTACGTTTTTGTAAATGTTTTGAGCTTTCTAGCTCGGCGTCCTTCCACAGACGGTTCGATATTGGCTTTTTCATAATATGACGGATAGGAGTTTCACATTGGGAAGAATACGTTTATTTCTAAAGTAAAGGTGTTGCATGGAATTTGGTCGTTTAAATGTACTACACTTCAACCACTCAGTCAGCATTAGAGCTCTCGTAACTGGACTGAGGTTTTCTTATGGTGAAAAGCAGACTACTGCGAGCGCGCATCATCTCTCCAAAAGTTACGTGTTTTATATAAACACTCGTATTATGTGTTTATTGACGGTTTGTTGCCTATATCCTATAAAACGCTTGCCTTTTGGTCCCAACGGATGGATCATAGTGATGCCATTTAATTCGGTTCCGTTCTTGAAGTAGCTCACAATCACATTATGGAATGACTTCTTTGTAGTGATGGAAATTCTGAGGAATCGAAAGATTCTGGTTCCGATTCTTCTTAATGGTTCGCGTTCCTTAACGGACCCATTGTCGATTCTTTTAGTAGGCTACTTCTGAGAAGGAAATATTAATCCATTCACCTGACCATAGCTAAAAAGATCACTAAAAAGATTCGGCTCAAAAGAGTTATTTTTGGGAACCGCACCATACTGGTGTTTGGATTGACTAAAAAGAATCGGCTCATAAAAGTTATTGGTTCTAGAATTTGGTCTGATCTAATCTAGAACCAGGACCGGTGCCTTTTTAAATGAATCTAAAATAATTCAACACACAGGTTGTTTTTCAAAGTAATCCAATGAATAATCTTAATCTAGAGTCTTTGTGAATTATCATAATGCCAATAGAGTCCCTGGTAGTGTGATGGAGTTTGTCTTATGAAGTGATGTAAGAACATCAATCTCAACGTTCTTGGTATAAACGTCCACCTTTATGTCAAAGCGGTTCGCCTCTGTGTGACACTGTGGGAAACGAAGTGCGCCATGTCAGAATTAATCTCGTTTTGAGTCGTTATATTTCGCGTACTCGGCCTTTGCCGTGATTGACGGATGTTTTAAATATCCCTGACATCCTCACCTTCGAGCTTGTCAGTGCCAGCCTCCTCTCGAGTCTCTGTTCCGGTGTCGAGTGGGCTGTGGGCTGTATTAAAGCTCCGTGTCCACTCTACGTGACACAATCTTGGCGCCTTTTCACACACGTTACAGTACGTCACTATTAGAGAGTCACAGCATAAGTTACATTTATAGTTGGGGGAGGGCTAGTTGTCACACCTTTTGTTCTAGTGAATATTATGTAAGGTTGTCTTATTTCTGAAAGTCAATTTCTGTATTGTACATTGCCTTTAAGTCTTAGGGATGTATAAAAATATGCAATTGACCTTTTGTGGCAACTTGCCCCAATAGTGTATTTTTTAAAAAAAATACTTGTTTACCCAACAGTTTTTAGAAAACAAAATATTGTAATTTTAATTTGAAATACAAAATTAATTTAAAGTTCTTATTTTGGGTTTTTTCTAGATGTTTGAAAAAAAAAAAAAAAAAACTTGACATTTGCCTCAGAAACTGAGATATTGCCCATGTGACAACTAGCCCCAGCCTTCCATACATTAATTGAACAATTATTCATTAATAATCTTGCCGGAAAGCATCTCTCCTCCAAATGGATCAGCTTCAGCTGCCAGTTTTTGGTTTCTTTTTTCCTTTTCTTGAATAGCAGGCTTGTAGAATCTCATTACTTGTCTTTTTAGTTTCCTTCAATATCACTCCTAGGACAGACAATGATAGCTTTTTGATTGAGTTTATCATAAAACACAAGTTATTTAATTTACTCTTCCAATTCATTATCAGCTCTTTCTGCACCTCAAATCTGCGGAGACGTCAAACTAACACAATAAAGGCAGTCAGGCCTGAAGTGTTTTGAAGCTGACTGTATCAGATCTGAGGAAGAGATAATAAAATTGTTTCTCCCTTCACTTTTCTTCTAGTATGTACATTTATATAAGTGTGCGCTGAAGGCTGGCAGATGGTTATCCCTCTGAGAAAGTGTGTGATATTTAGATACTTCATGCCATAAGAATATGACAGGAATAGAGATTAGGCTTCCATTTTATATTTGATCAGTCTTATTAGCAGCCTGCTTTGTTGTATATTTTTAGTGCCTTGGTACGACGTGCAAAGAGCGCTGTTAAATCGAATTCATTACCATTTCCTTTTACTGAGTTATTGAGTGTGGATAAATAGTGCTTTGGCTTGAGCAGGGTTTGGAGAATGAAGGGTCAGGCCATGTTTTGTTTGTCATGGCCGTCGTCCAGAGGAGATACAGCTTTTTCCGCTCCCTCAACAGACTGGAGATCTCGGCTGGGAACCTCTTTCTTTTTCACCGCCCATCAAAATAAAAGAACTAACGGCTAATTTAGGAGGGGGGAAAAAATTCAGCTTCTACTTTTGTGTAGAGCTACTGTATTTCTTGTTTTACTGTCAGAATGTGTGACCGGTAGTGAGATTAGAAGCTTGACCGATGAAGCTTGACCATGACCGAGAGCATCTCATTTCAGAAAACATGAGTCAGCAGCATATAAGTTAACCGTTGAACAGTATTACATAGCACATTATTCTAGGAATAAGTTAGTGATGTGTCTGTGATGGAGAGAGCACCCTCTCGCTAAAGAACCAAACTTGACCCAGTTCCCGGAATTTACCCCAACTATTCGACTTGTGCTTGAAATACCAAGTGTGACCTTCGATCTCATTGTCAGGTCACATACCATGGTGAATGAAAGTGTCAAGGGCCCTCGAATGAGTTTTTGCAGCCTTCGCCCATCTCGGGTCAGTCCCTGACCCCTTTATGCATATTGAACATTACATTATTAGTGATACACGCTGTTAGAATTAAATTACAATGTCTGGGACCGTTAATGTACGTCAATACTAGTCAGTGGTGTGGATTTCTCTTTTGGGACAGGGTGGGGGAGACCTTTCCACTCACCTCTCCTTTCTAGTTTCCAGGACAGCGCATCTATCCCTCAGCCTTATCGGGGCTTGGATCCGATCAATGCTATCTGCCATCTGCTTGCAGACTACAGCTTTACCACCACCCTCTGAGGAGTTTTCTATGGCCCCTACAACTGATCCTGGATAGTATTGTCATGGCACTCGCAATGTATTATGTTAAGCATAGGGTAGGTTTCACTAATGCCAAACCAACTGTTAAGGGTATTATTAACTGGTGCCGTGGTGTTTTTCCTTTTCACTCGCCTGTTTTGTATCGAGAAGGGCTTTAGGCCTCTTGTAATGGAAGTCACAGACTGGCAGCATCTCCGAGCCAAATTTCTTTTTGCTGTATTCAAAGGCATCCCTCACAACGCATCCCTTCAGGTCTGCTTTGAATCGTGTGTTTATTTCCCCCTTTTGATGAAAGCGACTCTGGCAGCTTAGCTTTAGGCAAAGCGACATCAGTAATAAGAATAGCCACGTGTTTTATAAGGGTTTGCAAAAGTAAATTTGGGCTGTATGTGCAAAATATGTTCCTTACCTTTCTGTTCTTTGTGGTCCGTTCAGCTTTGCTCTTTGTGATTTCCTCCTTATGGTATAAGCAGTGTGAACTCGATAATAGGCTATTTACTGTCTGGTTCATTTCATTTGGCCGTCGTCTCTCCTTGGATACTGCCGCTGAAGCACTTCCTTAGGCAGTTGTGGTTTGTGTACTGAAAGCCAGTAAATAATGCAAGATCTCTTGACTGGCCATGTAAGTAAGACTAAAAGTGATGGGGCCCAAGGGGACGTCCCTCTCAGAGGACCACAGGCGCTCCAAAAGACCTTTCAAGAGGTCAATGGTAGCCATATAGGTGTGTTTTTAATGCGGATACAAATGTATAGAATGCACAAGATATGGTATGGTTTATAATGCAGCGCTCTGTGAAGTTGTTTCAGCAAATCAATAGATAGATAAAGCTTTCTCTTGATAGATTTATAGATGTAATATTTCATGGTATTGAATAGGTTTTAATAAGAGCGTTGAGCTTGTTAAGTCAAGGTCTTGCTGTTCAGTCGCCTCTTAATTAATATCTC